TCAGATGATGTGAGGCTTGGCCTGTCCCTGTCTGCCAGATCGATGGCCTGGCTGGACTCGACATTGCCACCTCCTGACTTCGTTGTCACGGCATCTGCTTCGCCTGCACGTAGCTTGTTGTGGTTGGGTCCTACGACTTCTTCACCGGACCCTGCTCATACTGACAGCTCCGTGTTCACCCGGCAATTCGTCAGAGGCGGCTCCGCTTCACCTGCTCTGGGCTGCTCACGATACGGCTTGTCCATGTCTGCATTCGATTCCCTCCACTTGGGCCTCGCGCCCTCGCCTCGTAGCCCTTCGCACATAGGAGCCTCGGTGTTTATGCTGGGCTGGGCCAGCATAGGCTTGCCGACACCACTTCGTTCCTTCAACTGCATTGGCTTGCCGGTGCCGGCATCGGATTCCGTCGAGACAGGCCCTGTGCTTTCTCTCCGAGGTCTCTCGTGCTCCGGCTCTGCCTTCTTCATGTGCGGCTGCACTCGGCCAGGTCTCTTCATACTCTTGCCAGACTATGCGGATTCAGGCCCCCCTCTTCCCATCCGAAGCTCCGTCCGTTTGGAATTCGCCTTGCTATTTCTAGACTTTGCGGAGTTAGGATTGCTGTTGCCACTGCGGAACCTCGTGCGTCTTGGCCCAAGCCTATCTCCTTCCGGGCGAGCTTGTTCGGGTGATTGGACTTCAGCCCACGACTTCACGAATCTGGGATTCGCTCTGTCGTTGCGCAGCACGGGCTGCTCAGGCTTTGCCTTGCTCGTGCTTGATCTCCTGCTTCCCGGCTCCTTCATGTCTGCAAGGAGACACAGCTGCCCTGGCTTTGGGCTCTCGGCTTATGGGTTCGGGCGATTTGGGCCGACCATGCCTCCCTCTGATTACTCCAACTTTGGATCGACCTCTTTCGCCAGGGCTGTGGCGAAGTCCGGCCTCCTCTTCTCAACATATGGAGCAACCTGTGGTGCATCTCTGCCTTCATCTGAGTATGCACATGCAGATCTGCTTCTATTTGCGAGAAGCTCCACGCAACCAGGGTTTCGGTTGCCCGCCTTCCATAGTGCAGAGCCTGGCAGCCCACTACCGCCTCGAAGCATGGCTCGCCTCGGTTCTGCCTTCTCGGCCTCCGGTATGCTGCGGCTAAATCCTCCTGTGCCGTTGGCTGACCATATCGGTGCCGGCCCGTTGATGCCTCCTCGGAGCTTCGGACACTTCGGCTTCAAGTCGCTGGCCTACGGTGCAGGCTGATTTGAGCCATCGCAGTCTGTCTGTGACTTCGTAAACCCGGGCTCGGCAATGTCTGTGCAATCGCTAGCACATACGGATAGCCCAGCCTTTCTGTTCGGCCTGGCCAGGATCGGGTCAAGTGTTCCGGTTTCCGACTTCACAAGCTCCGAACCCACTCTCCCTCCAAGGGGTGCAGCTGGCCTTGGCCTGTTCACGTTGCTGTTCGGCATGACGCGCTTCGAAAGTTCCGCCCCTCCATTGGACTTCGTGAATGTTGACTTCCTCATGTTGCCTCAAAACTGCGCCCGCTCCGGTTCCAAGCTGCCCGCGTATGGAGCCGGTCGTTCCGGATTCCTCATGCCTTCATGTGACTTCGTGAACTTGGGCAGTTCGTCGTTTGTGAGAAACCCTGCAAGCCCAGGCTTCAGATTTTTGCTATTCAGCTCTTCCAGGTCCGAGTCCTTCCCGCCTGTCGCAGACTTTGCTCTCTTCGGCTCTCTGATGCCGACCCGCTGCTACGTCAGATCTGGTGAGCACATCTCCGTGGCAGGCATCGCCCGCCCAGCCTCGGCAACCAATATGGACGAGCAAGCATTGCTGGGCAGCTCGCCGTTTGTAAGTGCTCACACCCGCATGGACCTGGTGCTGCCTATCTCCGGCATCGGTGTATTTGGCTTGAGGTTGCTGCTTTCTGATATGGCTCAGCTAGAACTTTCCTTTTCTGTGCAAAGTCTCAGTCGCTCAGAGTCCTTGCTGTCCATCTTCGGACAGAGCAGGTTTGCCTCAGCTCTGTCGACCTCGGACTATGTGT